TGAATTGAACAGGAGGCGGTATAAGAGACTGGAAAGGCGGGGGAGGAGGGGGGCTCTGGGTGGGAGGCGGTGGGATGGGTTCAGATCCTGAAGAGTAGGAGGGAGAGGAGGCTTCGTCGCTGCTACTGTGATCCTCACTGCTGCCACTGCTGAGCTGCCGGGGCATGAAGCCCATGTCCTGGTCCTCCTGGAAACTCATCTGAAGGGAGGAGAGGAGCACGGTCAGACCTGATCATCTCCACCTCCACATACTCTATATTATATATGTACTCTCTTTATAAGCTCGCTTATCAATCTGCATCTGGCATAATTCTCTTTGACCTACTTGTGGAGCAGAATAGCAGCCATAAAAAGCAACAAAATCAAACAACCTGCTGATTTTAAAACACATGCACTTCTACTAATTAGACTTTGAGTCTAAAATACTGGAAACAAGACTAAAAAGATCACTTTTAAAGTACGTGCAACCCAGTGAATTACGTAAATATGCTGTTCTCCCCATTTCCCAGACAACTAAACCACCCTTACAAAGACGTAAGACAGCTACGTTTGTTTGATGGTTTAACGTCAGCCAGCACCTCATTATAACATTTGACTTCTACTCAGAAATAGGCAGATAAAATTAGACTCTACTGAGTATCATGTTTACTTACAGGCACCCCTCTTCTTCTGAAACCATGACAACCACCTTGATATATCTGTTCATGTGACACAAGTGTTCATTGTAGCGTACATTAGAGCTGCTCTAATGTAAACATGCAACACTACAACAATTACTTTAGTCAAATGTGAATTTGCTTATTATTATTATTATATACTTGATAATAAGCAAATGCACAACAGTAAGACTGCCTGTAAATGTTGCTACATGTATTATTTTAGCTTTATAAAAGGAGTAAAACAGTTACTATGAGACATTAGAATAATTACCATGAACAAACAACAGCTTACAGTTCAGAGAAGACATTCGTACGTTCTTTGGCTCAAACAATATTTAGAATTTTTAAAGTTTGTGGCAGTGAAGGTACAAAATACAAGTATGACTGGAGAAAGAGCCTGCCATTAATTTTATTCACAATATCAACTGTTTACAGCTATTGTACTAGGGTCTCACAATTCATTTTAATTTTTTTTTTTACATTTTAAATGTAACTTTAAAATAGAAATAATTATCGTCCACATTATTCTAGCCTCATGACACCTTCCATGACTGATGGAAGAAACCTCTGGTTATTCCTTTCACTGAACCTGCGAGAGTCTTCCCTTTTCGCAAACTGATGTGGGAACACAGTCTGTTACACCTTGAACGGGATAATGTGATGATACCTCTTCTTTCTACTACAGAGGGATGAGAGGACAACGTAAAGAAGTGGCCTCTGTAACGTTCAGTAGCTACGGTTTGATTCCTTTGCTACCAATGTTGTAGAGATGAAAAATCTAAAAAGCTATAGGAGAGACACAACATGTCTAAAATCATCCTCTCTTGTTTAAGCTACATATTCAGTTTAGTTTGATTTTTGGTGCGTGCAACTTGTCCTTGTTGGTTACAGCTATCCAAAGCCACTTCTTCAGGTTGGCAGTAAGAAGCAGAGGTATAATCACATTATCCTGTGGAAAGCTTGCTGTGTTCCCAATTTGTTTCACAAGAAAAGCTCCAAGACTGCTAACTCTTACAGTCGCCAGTTCCGTGACAGGAATGACCGAAGTTGCCCCCATAATTCACAGTATGATGGAGCAAGGAATAACAAGATATTAAAAAGTTACACTCTACGATATCATTATACTGTACACTAGTTCCTAATATAAAAACATAGCATGTACTCTCTGTATATGCATATAACTGATGATGCAGTAGAACGGAGGCAGGTCTTACCTCCTCATAGTCGTTCTCCCCGGGAACAAAGTCATCCACCAGAGTCACCCGGTGGCCCAGCTGCTCGCTCAAAGCGTCCAGGAACTTGTCTGTGTCCCGGCTGCGAGGCGGGCGGGAAAATGTGAACAGCTTCTTGCGGCGGGTCAGCGTGTTGGGGCCGCCATCCGAGTGCTGAGGGGAGGCGGGGGGGCTTTCCAGGCTGACGTAGGGGTTGGAGTCCACACTGCTCTGGTGGTGGATCTCATACACAGGAGTGGGGAGAGGCTCCTTCCAGGAAAGGGACAGGCCAGATTTACGATTACCTTTAAAGAAGGAAAAGATGGCTGCCGTCAGCGTGCGTGTAGGTGTTTGATGCTCACGCTGCAGATGTTTACATTTGTTTCAAATACTATGCTACTTGTTCCCTCAAGAGATTATGTGTGACATTCGTGGTCATGCCTTTCTTCTGAGAGGTTACCATGGAAACACAAGGATAAACTGCAGGCTTATATGCAGGTATATACTGCAGAATTTGAATGAGTTTTAACTTAAACACATTCAAAAATCGGTGGTTCTCATGTCATGTTCACTTCAGATTGATACAAACAACTTGCTTAAACATCCAAACTGATGGTATGAATGTTAAATCAAGCATAAACACAAGGCTGCTGATTTAAGTATTTAAAGTAAAGCAGCATGGACTTAATTCCTTTGAATGTTGCTAATGTATACTGCATTTTTTGTCAGTGGGTCTAATGCAATGTTTGCATCTGTAACACTTTTCCCCATTTAGCAGCTTGTATTTACAGCAAATCTAATGTGACATGAACATGTCATCAATCGTGTGCCATCCAGGCCCAAAGTTATACACTGTGTCATTCCTGCCAAAAATCACATCTCACTAATTTACTCTGCAAATGCATCAAGCCTAAATGGCACACGGTTGTGAACCACTGATGAAAGCATGTGCACGTTGTTTGTGTGCATGTAATTGAGTGTTTGGGCCTGTGTGTCAGCCCCGGAGTACCTGTGAGAGGCGGGAGTGTGAGGGGGGAGAGAGAGCGCCCGTAGGCCTCAGTCTGTCCCGGGCCCTCGGGCTCTGCTGAGGAGCCACACTGCAGTGGTGACACACTCTTCCCTGCGTACACGTTCTCCAGCTCCGTGTACACACCTGTCATCTACGGGTGGAGGGCATGATCAGCTGGTTAGCACACGACACATTGGCTTTGAAGGTCTGCCGCTTTAAAGAAATTTGAAGACGGCAGGGTAACAGCAGCCACAAATCCAATTTGATACCATTTGTTGAATTGCAGTAATTACGAGCAGACCTTCAAATAATGTCAGCCCAGGGCACACATAACATAACCTGCAGTCATTGTGCCAGTTGCTGAGCAGCTAGGCGGCGAAAAGCTGCAGTTATACCTACATGATTGAGGTCAGGGGACTCGGGGAAGGAGGTCCCATCTCCTGACTGCCTCTCCTCCTGGCTCCCAGATTCATCCACATGAATTCCTAAAGCACAATAAAGCATGAACAGTGACACATGGAAGTAAGCCTCCTCCTTCTATCCAACCCCCAGCCAGGAGAGGAGAGAGGATGGAGCAGAGCAGAAGAGCGTGGAAGAGCAAAAGGCAAAAGCTTGGCTCCTGGAGCAGGAGTTAGCAATGGCGATGGAAAACAGGGAAAACCATGAATGAAAAAAACTGACATCTCAAACAACCTCAGCTGGAAATAAACAATGTATGTGTTTCCAAACTGATAGCTTGGGGACTTAATTGAAAGCAAAGACAGCTGACATATGGAGTTCATGTATGAACTGGTGATGGCATTTTTTATCTTATGTAAGCTTTACGTATCCACAAAGGATTTGCCTAGAACACGACTTTGTCTAACAATTACACACATTCCCGCCTGGGAGCTGACCAGTGCAAATACAGCCTTATTACTGAGCTCTGAGCAGTTCAACTGGAGCGACTGGGGGTTACATGCCTTGCTCAAGGAAATAATAATAGTACAGTAACTGCTGATGGAAGCTCATTTACTGTCTCTACCAGGATTTTCCAGGATTATTGCTTCTTTTTGGGTCCAACCTAAAAAGAAACAACAATGCTGAATTCTAGTTATTAAGGAGGAGGAGATTTAAAAGAATATATACATTCTCCTTCATAAAAAAAAAAAAACACTCCCTTTACAGTTGTTAAATCTTTGAAATTGATATCAGAAACTTTTTAGCAAATAGTTGTTTATTTACACCAGCAGTTTAAGCAACATTTGCATTTAGTTGTGTTTCTGTCCGATTAGGTGCAGCATGCACTCTACCTGAGGAAAACATCTGGCTCTTTAGCTGCTACATGCTCCACTATGTTCACCACTATATGTGTCTATCTGCTGTGCGGTGTTGAGAAGGTAGTGTGCTAAAAACGACACATATTCAGAGCTGTGACAGTGATCCAAAATACAGCTAAACAATGAGCTGGAACTGACTATAAAGTGACGCAGTAAAGCAAAGGGGAGCTGCAGTTTTGGGTAATAACTCTCTGTAGTTCCATTGCTAGGAGTAACAATGGAAAAATAATCTATATTCAATGGCAAATATTTTTAGCCAAGCCTGTGGCACTGCTAGTGGGACAGCAACATCCCATCTGTTGGTTGAAATATCTTAAAAACTATTGGATAAATTGCCATGTAAATTATTAATCCTATAATCCCAAAGGATGAGCCCTAATGACTCTGGTGATCCCTTGACTCTACTAGTAGCGCCAGTGAAATATATTGACAACTGTTGGTACACACATTTATGGTCACCAGAGGAGGAACTGTAATAACTTTGATCCCCGGACTTTTCATCTAGCGCCACCATCAGGTCAAAATTTAGCACGCAGATGTTAGCATTTAGCTTGGAGCACTGCGGTGCCTAGGCTCGGCCTCAGAGTGTGGCTGTAGACTCTTTTTATGTTAGGTTGGGCTACACATCTGTGATTGGTTGAAGACTGGGATCAAGTGTTATTCAAGACGGACTCCTGCAATAGTCAGCAATGTTTGAAGCTCAGCAGTAATAGTCAGTGAGGTTTTGAGAGACACAGATAATAACGTTTGTGAATTTTCTTTTTCTGATATCCCAGCGCAAGAAGTCTCTGTTCAGTTGAGAATGTCTTAAATTCCCATTTGGATGAGAAGTTTTTGATCCAGAATGGAGCTGGAAAGCCATTAAAACCTCGGTGTAAACCCAACCCACTCTGTGGAGATTACAGTGATTTTGTGCTACAGGGCGGTAAAACCTTCTTGCTGTTGTTATGTGCAGCGTACCCATTCCCAGGTGAGTCCCGATGATGCAGTCATCAGAGCTCCTCTCTCGGACGCAGCCGCGGTACGACGTCCCCGTCACACGCATTGAGCTGCTCCGCCGGTGGTGCTCGGGACCTACATCAGGCTCCAACACCGCTGCCAAACACACACATTCAGCATTGCGCTGTTGTTATTCACAAGCTAATTATGCACAGCTGCTACTTTGTGACTTATGAATTATTTAAAAAAAAGCAGGTGGTTAATAATAAAAGCTTGATTTTTGATTTGATTTCAATTTTTTTATGATATATTTGTCCTTATTCTTAATGATCAAGATCACAATAGAAATCTAACCTGCTAATAAGTAACTCATCAGTAGGATTCTGCTGCTGCTGTTGTTGTTTTTCTCAAATCAAAATCAACTGACTATCTGCTGATACTGCATGTATATTCTCCCGAATGCAGATAATTTCCATGTTGTGTTTTTTGGCTCACCACTGCTCTTAAAACCCAGGAAGCGTGACAGCTTGCTCTGGCAGCGCTCCTGCTCGTCGTAGGTCAGAAGCTGGTGGATGAACTGCCAGATCAGCTGTTTGGCCGGAGTGTCCAACACTGGAAACACGTCCACTATCAGAGTGTCCACATTCCTGCGAACACACACACACAATGCATCCATGCACATACAAGTCATCTTTATATAACCAACGCCTGTTTACTGCTGGGTAATTGATTTAGCTGTGATTTATATTCTGTGCTGTAATGAATCATATATCTGAGAATGAGATACAGGATGAAAAAAGATTATGTAAAGGTGGGAGGATAACAGGGATGTCAGTTGTGGTAGGATTTATGCCTTTGGGTGTTTATACTGTATGCACATACTGTAGAATTCACTTTTCTTTTTCTTATAATCCTGCAGCATCACATTTTTGCATCATCTGCAGTGCTAAAAATCCATCCATCTCTTTCTCTCAAGTCAACCCTGCATCCTTGAAGAAATGTTATCAGTGCCAACTGGGAGGAATAAATGTCCTGCTTAGCTATGTGCATTTGTTTCTTCACTGCTTTTCACCATCCATCATTCATTTTCTCCATCTCTCTCTTTCGCCTGCATTAAGAACACCCTTAGCAACCTGATATATTGAGTATGGTAAAAGCACAGCTTCCCGGTAACAGCTAATTTTACAGTCAATGTAAGCTCGCCAGTAATAGAATCCTACCCCAAAGATAGTTTCACAAATGCTAAAAACTTAAAAACTGCCCTAAAGCTAATTTGTTTGTCTTCATGCTTCCATTTATAGACCATCTGTCCCTCCATCCCACTGACCTGTGCTGAAAGAAGGTCTCCAGGGCCTTGCAGACTGTGTACCTCTCCTGGATGGTCAACAGGTGCTCTAGCTGCTGGCTGAAGGTCCGCCCGTGGACTCTGATGCTCGGTGGAAGAATCTCTGCCACCCACTGCAGAGAGCTAAGGGCCGGAGACCTGAACAGTGGAAGTATTGTTTCTCTTTTGTTCTGCATCTTTAATCAAAAAAATGCAGTGCCACTTGACAGAGGCTTCTGGTGCTGGAAATGTCAAATCAAAATGTCAGGTTTGTTGGTGTGTACTGACCTGGAGCGCGGTAACGTGGTGGGGGCCAGGCTTGGAGACTCCTCTGGGTCTGTTTGGTCTGAGTCAGAAGGACCCTCCTCCACCACCAGAGTGGGCATCGCCCCACTGCCTTGCAGCATGGACACCACCTTCTCATGGGAACAGTTCCTACAGAGAGAGACAGAACAAGAGAGCGAACTTGAGAGGGATACGAGTAAATTATGTACTTTTGGCTATACAGATAGCAGATGGATTGAAGTAATGAAATCTACAGCATGACAAGATTTCCTAAATGAGACTGGTAAACTAAGTAACGAGAATATTTACTATCATTATTACAAGTATCTAATTTCCCATACACCATATGCTAAAGGTCACTGAAACACTGAAAGGTCCCACATATCTTGTACTTTATTTTCTTTCTCTCTCCCTGGTGAGCAACTCTGTTTAGCTGATCACCTCCTACTACCGCAGCACCGTGTTATCAGGGAGCGCAGCAAAATTATACAGCGCCAATCAAATCAGTACATCAGGCAGCCATGGGAACGGCTCTGCAATTCTTCCTTCACGTGGCTATCAGGGTGGCAGAATGAGTAATACTGTTTCTTCACACAGCTCTGATTGATATTGGCTGATATATTGGCTGATACTGTATTTGTGGAGTTCGTATAGGTACAATTCAATTTCATCCACACTGAATTTCTTATCTGCACTCCCACACTCTCTCTCCGAAAATCCAGAGGCAGAAGGTCAAGAAGTTGTTAAGTCCACAAAATAACACTGACTACTCCCACAAGAAAAGTTCTGTTTATGTAAAGGCTGTGTTCACGTGCATCGCCCCGTACATACATACTGTACCTACACGCATACACACACACACACACACTCACTTTTTTGCCAAGAGTTATATGATTGAAGATTGATAGCACTTGTGTGAGAAGCTACAGTAAGCAGCCAGTTAGCTTAGCTTACCACAAAGACTGGAAACAGGGAACCGCTAACCCTGCTCCATTGCTTTCTGCCACAGAAACCCTGTAAAACCACCACCCTGTTTTTACTAGCTACTAGCTGTTTGCCAAAAGTTGGATAAGAAGGTCCTAAACTGTCTCATGAATTTTTTAACTAGCCAGGCAGTCTGCAGGTATGAGAGCGGTAGTGATGCTCTATGCAAGAAAGTGAATAAGTGTATTTCCCAAAATGTATAATTATTCAGCCTATTTCTGGTACATCTGGCCCAAATTAGTTTCCAATTAGGTTTATGATGTAATTAATTTTTTTTATTGTACTCGTTTCTACGATGAAATCTATTTCATTCTGGCTTTAATACTTCCAATATCAGAGGAGTTAGATGTGATCATACAGGTAAAGCTATATATTTTTGAGGGTTTCTCTTTCTTCTTAAGATGACAGACAAGAAGGAGCGCAATGAACATACTGCTTTTAAGTTGAAGAACTCAGCAGATGGCTTCTCCTGGAGAAAAGCAAGCCCTGATATCTCCACATATACTGATTAAGTTCAAAAACATGGACAGCAGGCACGACAAAATACTACTACAACTGCCACTGCTTACAATAATACTTACAATAATTATAACAATAAGATGATGTTATCTATGAAAACAAACCTCATATCCAGTCCATTGAGGAAGAGGATACGGTCCCCTGGTTTCAGTCCACATTCCTCGGCAGGACTATCTGAGAGGGAAACAAAGATGGCAGAAAATCAAACATTAATCAGAGATTGAAAACTGATCCTGGCACAACCTCACCAGATACCAAGGTGCACTGAACAGACGGGCACAACAGGGAAAGATGGTGACTAATGTGATGCTGTCAATCTGTGTATGGCATCCAACAAAGCCCATCAACAATGGAGAAACCCTCTGTGCTAAATCTTATTACGTAAGGAAACAGCGCTGTCAAAACAATCCTCGTGGAATCTGTTCTGACTGCACTGTACCCGTCCGCTGCCACCTCCTCATCTGTCAACTCACTGCTGAATACTCCTCACATTGAATGTCATGTCATCTTTTTTTTATTACCCAAAGTTTGGATGAAACAAACTCTTCATGTGATAATGTAGTGTGTGCAGGCTTAGGCACCTTCACAGGCCGCGAGTCAGACTTTAAAAATCTGAGTTTGTCGCTTCCTGGTTATCAGTAAAGGATCTGTTTACAGATCACGATGGGAGACATGCTATCCACCCCCTCTATCTCCATGTCAACCTCCATAAGGCCCACTGAGTCAGTCCGCCCTGGCCGCTTCAGCACATGATGGTGGGAGATGATGGTGGGCGGGAACGGTGCCGTCATCATCAAACACACACACATAACACACGCACACACACACACCTCCCTCCTTTCCGAGGAACCTGGCAAATTCCCTCAACGGCAACTTCACAGCCTCTCTTGTCTGCTACTTTTGTTTGGGAAAGCACTAACAGTTAATCAAATAAACTTCCACTGCTGCTGGAAATAAAAAGTAATTATGTATTATGTTCAGCAAAAGCTCTTAGTAGCAATTACCCTGACAAATATTTAACAGTGAGTTTAGTTTTTATGCCACTAATATCAGCTGGTGGTATTGTATCCAAAACATAATACAACTGCAGGTTCACTGATTAAAAATTAAAACAACAAGAAATTCTGCATGGCTGACCGGAGGAAACCAATAAACATAGCTTTGTTATTCCATGTTTTGATGTAAATGTGAAGGGAAAGCTCCTGTGTTACATATATTTACGTATATTTGGTTTCTTGACAAGAGGAGAAGATTGATATGTGAGATATATAATATAAGATCAATACGAAGCTACAAGCAGCAGCCGGTTGGCTTTGGCTACTTTCCCGTAAAACCAAACAAATGGTTGTTTTTAACGTTTAAACGTATGTAAAACGTAAAGCTCAAGATATAACATGTTAGTTAGTGAGCTTTAGAGGTGATGGTAGGTGGGTTATGTTACCTTTAGTCATTCCAGCTGTTTCCCCCTTTTTCCAGTCTTTATGCTAAGCTAAGCTATAGGCTATAGCTTCATATAGTTTCATATTTACCCGACAGACGACAGACGAGTTGTGTTTTGTCTTCTCAAAATGCTGAACTATTAAAGACATAATTTTAATATTTCTATATAGTGGCATCTGCTATCATATCTTGGTTGTATATCCTGCTCGGTGGGCGTCCATTAGATAAACTAAAAAAAATAAAAGGTAGTAGAGGGAGCCTTACAAGTGGGGTAAGATGCACTTTGTATCTGTAAATCCTTCTAATCCTTCTATTATCGCAGTATGATTTGATTGTATTATATAACTTTAAAAAAAAAAAAAAGGATGCTGAAGAAAACTCCAACTCCAGATAAAAGTCTGTGCCTGAATGCGACTGCATAGTACTGACTGCTATATGTGTACTGTACAGTACAGCCTGTTCTGAGTGTTTTCCTCTCAACATTTCATTGGTGAGTCAGACAGATCCACTTCCTGGTACACTCATAGTCACACACACAAACACCTCCTGATCACCTTCAACCCTCAGCGGCTGGCACCACAACAGACTCACCCACATAAAACACATCCCTCCCTCGTCGGCCAACACAGAACAATGTTTGGGTCAAACCACCACGCACAGAGAGGAGGCATCTATCAGGACTGCACTGGTTTTAATATAGAAGCAGTACCTGGGATAACAGAGTCGATGCAGACGGGAGCGTGACCTCGCAGCGTGAAGCCGAAGTTCTTCTTCCCCCTGTAGACACGAATGACCCTGGCGAAAGTAAACATCAGATGTACAGAGTCGTGGAAATAATTTTATGACTTATTATATGGCTAATACACAATTTAGAGTTTATTTTTCGGGTTTTCACTTAAGGTCATTCTCAATCGTCCCGTTTCAACTTGAAATACACCAAATTACTAAACCAATACACCAATAAAATACTACTTCAGTTTAACTTAAAACATTTTTAACTTATTTCTTTATCTTTTCTCATCGATCCACTAACCACTATCAATGTGTCCAGGGCTGCAACTAATGATTGTTGTCATTATCAATTAATATATCAATTATATTTTTGATCCACTGATTAATAAAATGGGCAATAACATTTCAGAAAAGGATGAAAAATGCCCTTCAAAATTCCCAAGAAATGTCCCTAAATGTGTCCAACCAACAGTCCAAAACCCAAAGATACTGAGTTTAAAAGAATATAAAACAAAGAAAGGAGGCAGAGTTTGATAAGCTGGAACCAGAGACTGTTTGGCGGATGACTAACAACTAACCAATTAATCGTTTTGGAGTTAATTGTGACGTCACTGAGCTACGCTGACGCTTAACAAGCGTTCTGTGAATGGACGGGGAACCCAGCTGTTTACAGGGCTGCTGTTGTGCCTCGCTCCTGTTTGGATTTGTCACTTCCTGTAGGTGGGAGTCTGAACAAGCGGGGGTATGAGGCTCATCTTTACTGCAATCCAACTTTGTGATCTAGGCTGGTAACGTGGCTTTTTTCTTTTTTTGTTGTTGTTTTCCTCCACGTCTTTCTCCGAGTTTTGTTTTTAAGCTTCCGGCCTAAATAAAAATAATTCAGGACAGACTCAACAAAAAGCTTTGACATTTTGCTGATGGTGGTGCTTCACTTTGTACACGGTGGAACATCCCGTTACATCAAAAATAAGGCATACCGTCTATCCACAGCTCGTTGCCATGGAAACGACTGAAGGCAATACAGCCTCTGTATGTAAACAGAGGGGGGGGCAAAGATGGGAGGGAAAACAGACAGATCTATTCTTTGATAGCTGTGGTTACTGGTTGTTATGTAAGACAAGCTAAATGCAGATGGGAGCATTGGGTGCTGCTGTGTGTGTGTGTGTGT